GGAGCGCCGTGAAGGCGTTTCTGTGAATGGAATTGCGCGCCGAAGAGGAACACGCAGACAATGGCCGGCAATTGATACATAACGTGGAACGCGTCTGTGGCACGCGTTTGCACGTACAGAAGCCGAGCAAATTGTCGAAGCACTCCACCTCCATAATCTATTTTATTTTTCTTGCTTATATATTTCCGTGGACTTGTCCATTCGTACGACGACGGCCGTATGGAGTACGTACATGTATATATACTCTTCCTAGGGCGGTGTGGTCATCATCGTTAAAAGAAGCCGTCCTTCTTTTTCTCTGTTGAGGCCATTCGAATCGGGGTCGCGCGGCATGCCTCTCCACTTGTGGAGTGCGCATTAGCCACCACCGTATATTCGGTCGCGCCGAATAACCTCCTTCCACGGAACCTGCGCTCTACACGGACCTCGAACGCAGAGGCTTTCGCGACGATCGGCCGGCCCGGGGGATGCCGCGAGATGTTTATTCTGGAGGGCAGTCGTATCACGGGCGTATCCACGATATCATTACGGGGGAAAGGAAGGGAGCAGGGTTGTCCGACCACTCTCTTGTGTGTACGTGCGTGTGTTTGTATGTTTGCATGTATAAAGAACTGAAAAAGTTTCAAGAAGCTTGGCCCTCCATCCCACTTCAAGTTCAAGTAAAGTCCGTGTTCAAGCAATTCGGGCACGCTTCAATTGGGGCGAAATGCTATTACGTTCGTTGAATTTGAATAAAATTATTCTAGAGTGGTACCACCCCGTGCCTCAGAATGATATCGTGGTCTGACACGTTGATATGTCAGAATGTAATTACAAATAAATTCTTGCTGGTAATTTCGCACAAAGAAGGACAAACGTAGAGGGACATTCATATGTTTTGTTACCATTAGCTGCAGAACAAAAGCCTCTCCCATATTTTTCAAACTAGCAAATTGTTGCACTTACTGCGCCCACGTTGTACCCACAAACTGTTTTGGCTGAGTTAAATCTCTATAAAGCATCCGATTACCGCAGTGATTGGGGAACTCCTGTGCAGTTTGTCACATTCACAAATTCATCACGTCGATGAACTGACGCGATGAATTGATGGCGCATTACTGGCACAATGAATTTTCACTCGTTTACATTCTGTTCCGTATATAATGACCACTTGACAGTCTTTCGAAACCCAGATTCGTCTGTTCCAGCGTTACCCACTTCATACGATCATGATGTCACCATCCATGTTCCCATTGCACGCACAGTAGCCCACAGTCGGGTGCGTTCGTAGCCCGCAACTAAGTCATTTTATGATCGTCGATGCAGCATTGTCGTCTTTCCTTCCGGCGCGCTCCTCATATTCTGGCTCCTCTCTCGTCGTCTTAGCCTTTACGAGAAGCCCCTGCTGCACTACGTCAGGCTTTGCCGAGTCCCTCATCGCCGTTGTCATCAGCCTATTTGATGCCAACTGCTGGGCAAAAATTTCTCTGAATGACTTCAGAGAATGACTTCTGAATATGCGATCCTGCCCATGCAGTACAAAAGCCAACGCGTTTCACCAGCGAAGATCACAGCCGGCCAACGATGATACGCGTAATCATTGTTCTGCGAGTGTTGCTTGTGCTAAGACGGTTGTTTTGGGACGTTCAACCCCACATATGAATCAATGCAAAGAGTGTTCCTTTTGCTGGGTACGATATTCGCCCAAATGACCCTCCTTAATCAAGGATTCCACTGCTTGCGGTCTTCACCATCTCAACCCCGTGACAATGCATTAGATGCCGCCGCAGATGCACTGTACAGTTATTGACCCGGCTCTCAACTGCGAAGAAACATCGGGCATGTTTCCCGCCTCAACGTCATTTTAGCCATATATATCAAGCAACGAAACGACGATTTACCTGCGTCGCGGCTAGACCAAAACTGTTCACGAAGCCTGTGCTTTCCAAGGCGCGATTGGAAATGACGACGGTGTTAGCGGATCTGGGCGCTCGATTTGCTCTTATATGAATGCACCCTCTGCATTTTGTGCTCTGCCGTTTGATAACTACAGACCAGATAGTGCCGCTAAATTGCTTTTCGCAACCCTATAATCCCAGGCTGTGTTTAGAAATGCTGTATGAATCAAGCGTCAAGCGAAATGCGTGCTTTATGCCTAGTCTCCCCGCTGCCGATCACATACATATAGACTACTTTCACAAGGGATTAATGAACGACATTCTTTCTTCCGTGTTACTTGGTGACAAAATTGGTTAATGCGGATTTCTCAAGTTGACGGGGCGTATAACCTAAGTAACAATGCGCTGTCTCTTCTTTTCTTTGTTTGTTCTAACAGCAAGACACCGGAAAAACTTCCATCACATGTAGGTCGGCTTTGATACTGGCATTTCTCCCTGCGCGCGGTCGTAAAAGAGCTTTGGACTGAGCGTATAGACCATAGGCGCACCTTCTTGTCTTCTTCCGCGCCCGAAAGAGCCGAACAAGTGTTGCCTCTGCCTCTTGGTCCAAAAAAAAAAAAAGAGGATGCCATCAAAAACGCATGGGTGGCTCGAAAATCTTCTGGGTCAAATGCATAAAGCTCGAGGTCAAACGTGTCCCCGAGAGGTTAGACTCACGACAATGACCCTTCGCTTTCCCGTAATAGCGCGTGACTGTGTGTATATAAGTCGTACGAAGCGTATACCCGAAACGGGACAGACCGTTTCTTCTACTCGTGCGGCTTGTCTGCTCCGCCGTGAGGAACAAACTCCATCAGCCGCGCTATAGCGGCGCGCGCACGGCGAACTGCGACCTCGCCGAGCCGGGCGTGTCGCTCGCTGTATGGCAAAAAAATCCATTAAGCGGATCAAAATGTCGCGCTTGAGGAGAGAGAGAGAGCGCGCCGTTCTTTGAAGCGTCATTACGGCGTCGATTTGCCGCAGAAGAAAGACGAGACAAAAAACGCCGCTTGGAGCAAACCACCCAACTCGAAATGACACGACCTGCGGCTGGTTTTTCTTTTTCCTCTCTGGGGCTTGTCTTAAGAAGAAGACGAAGAAAAAGCGGAACATTGCAGCGGAGGTTCGCACACAAAGCGAAGACACGAGAAAAAAAAAAGAGTGGGGTTGATGCAGAAGGTGGAGGTGTATTCGGAGTTGCAGCAGTTTGAATCAAACTGCCTCGGGAAGACCTGAGTGAGCCGGCGCACTGAGTCGTCCTCTTCAGTTGCCAGGCCCGCGACAGCCACCCCGCAAGGTCAGTCGGCTAGGAGGAATGCCACTTCCGCGAGCCAACGTCGGCGGCGATCCGTTAGGAGAAGCGGTTTTCCTCGCCCCATCCGCATCCCTTGTGATGCCGGCTGATATTCCGGTTCTCGGCTTGCTGCTGTTCGACGAAGAAGGAAGGGCTGCCCGGCCCCTTCTCGTTCCTTGTTTGCCCGCCGGGATCGGTCGGGCCCTCCAGGCAGGCTCGGTCAGCGGGCCAACCAGCGCGTGCTAGCCCGCGCCCTGCTGTCCTGGTGCGACGACGAACCCTAACGCTCGCGCCCACCTGGCCCAGTCCGGAGATGCGAGGGAAGAAAACCAAACAACGCGCTGCACACCGGTTCTGATTACGCGCGGAGAGCATAGTAGATGTAGTAGTAGTAGTATCCATCCTGGCGCTGTGTTTGGTAAGGTGGTTCATCAAACACAGTTCCTGCTCAGCAAGAAAAGAGGAAAGGAGATGGATGCGCTGTAAACTGCGCGGCGTAGAGGGAAAAGCGTCTCCCGCCGATCACTTCGTCGACCCTTAAACCTTTTATGCGGCCGCACACGCATAGGTGCCCGAACACTTCGATCAATCAACAAATCAACTTTATTTCAGTCTATTTCATAAACAGACAGAGGCGTGGCGAATAAAAGCTGTCTTCCGAGAGCTTGACGAGCCCGCCGCCACCTTTACACGTTGGTTCAGGATTCGGCAGTTTTATGCTTGTCGAGCAACGTAAGCCGAGTTGCGCATGACGCCAACGTGTGTTACCCTTCGATGCTTGTCGTAAACAGCTCGAGGTGATAGTTTCTCACCTAATATTTGTGGGGATCTGAGGCGCGCCCGCGACCATTTTCGCGGGCATTCCGCCACACGGCCACACCCTTTTGCTTCCCTGCTCTGTTAACATCACGTGGCGATAGATGGCGCCACGCGCGGGCACGGCGCGCGCCACTGCGCGCGCCGAGGGAGCGCGCTCTTCTCCGTTGGTCGGCGCCGGGTAAGCACGTGTTTTCCTTCGTCCGCGTCCCCTTTGGGAATCGCCGGACTGCAGCCTGCCTGGGGTGGCCTTGGGCACCTCGGCAGGCGTGTTTACTTGAGTGCTAGCTTCGGTAGCGTACGCTAAGCCCACAGCGGTGCCTAGTGCTTGAAGTGGTCGTACCACAACGAGCCGCACTTGCCGTAGGCCCAGCGCGTACGAGGTTTGCCCTAACACTCGCGACCAGGCCCAGTGGCCATCGTGAGAGTGCGCAGCATAGCCGCGAGGGACCTTTTCCCGACCGGCGTGTCAAAGCTCGCCATTGCCAGCTGCGACGTGCTCGCGGTTTTCCCCTTATTGTGAACGTCCGCGTGCGGGTGCCTTTGCTACCCGCGTCCCGGGAGCGGACGTTGTACTGTTGTTCGGGGTGCCGCCAGAGGCAATAAAGTGTTGTGTACTGTTACATTAGAACACTGTCTATTTGCCGCGCCGCGCTAAACGCCTTATCAGTTGAGCGCGCGCGGAGCGGTGCGCTACACGCGAGTAAACGGAGTAGCGGCCCTGTGGCTCGCTAAGCGTGAACCCGCGGTGATCGTCCGCTGCAGTTAATAGCGGGGTCACCATACTGGCGCCCAACGCGGTATCAAAGGCTCATTAAGCCTTTGATTAGTCTTAGCCGAGTCAGCCCGCCTTTGCGAATCAGACTCGCCGCGTTTACCCGCGTTATGTCTGCTGCGCGTGAGTTCTGTCCGCTGACGCTTTTAGCAGATACCGCATTGCTCGAGAACAGGGCCAGTGCCCCCCTTGAGCATCACAATCGCGCACCCTCACTTGTCACAAGCCCCAGTCGGGATGACACGAGGCGCTACGTATCAGCTCCCATTGGAGAGGTAGCGCGTTTTGGGTCCGGGGCCATAGCCCAACCCGAACAGTGCACAAGGACATGGACTACTACTGCTCCCTTTGGAATGCATGGTAGTTCCATGTCACAGCGCTCCGAAACGGCTCTCAGTGGAGCTTCCGGGGCGCAGATCGGCACCGCGGCCTCAGCCGTTGCCGAATTTTGTCCGCTGGCTGCTACGCAACCTAGCAGCCAAGCTCATTTCGAGCACGCGCCTGTACCGCTAGCCGCAAGCGGCCTAGCATTTTCACGTGAAGCTGCCCCAAGAGTCGGCTGTGAAAAACAGGCGCTCCCCAGAGTCGCGACGGCCGGTATCCATTTTGAAACCGCGCCGCTTATCGAGCTCGGAGACAGTTCCCCATCGCTCGCCCGCGCCGCTAATGCACCGACAGCTTCCTTTGAAGCGGGCGCACAGACGCTGCTGCAAAATGCCGCCCAAATGATTCAGGCACTCACGGGGGCAGTCCAAACGCTTTCGGCCATTCCGAAACGCCCTCATCCCGCTGTCATGTTGGCCGTTCCGACCTACAGCGGGTATGGTGATCTGCAAAGTGCAAGAGATTACCTGGACTCCCTCGCACGTTATCAGAGAGCCATGGGTCTAGACGATGAGGAAGTGCTCGGACGCGTCGTCCCGGCAGCACTGACTGACACGGCGGCCAGGTGGCATCGGCTTTCCGGCCACCGAGCAGCAACCCTCGAGGAGTTCCGCGCGGCCTTCCTGCGCGAATTCTTACCCGCTGACTACGAGAGTAGGATGCGGCGCGAGCTCGAGCTCCGCACACAAGCTCCTGATGAGTCGCTTCAGGAGTACGTACGCGCGATGGAAGACCTTTTTTCTATCGCTGAGCCCAGAGCCTCGAACGAGGAGCGCGTCGAACGGGTGATTAGGCAGGCACACCCGACTTTTTCGGCGTACCTGCGCGGCAGTCGCTTCCGTGATTTGGAGCAATTGGCCGTCGAGGCAAAACGCATCCAAGGCGACATTCTCGCCGCGCGTTCCTATCACCCGCCACCGCCAGCCAGCGAGGCCCTCGAACCGCGCTGCGCGTGGGGAGGGGCCATGACCCTTTCTCAGCGGCAACAGCCCGCCGGAGCTGCCTTTGCGGCTACCCCTACAGCTGGGCGCGCGTGGGAGATAAGCGATCGAGCTTTAGATCCCTACACGTACGGGAGGCGGGCAGCCGGTGCTGCATCGCAACTCGACGCGCGCGAGCAGGGACGAAATCCGACCCAGCGCATCACCGGTGGTAACGGTCGTCAGAGCGGTTCCTTTGATCACGCGGCGAACCCACCCCGGCAGCTCGCAGCTGCTCCGTCGCGGGAAAGGGACCGCGATGGAGTGCGCTGTTTCCGCTGCCGTCAACGAGGGCACATAGCGAGGGAGTGCTCCGCGTTTGTGCCTCCTGTGAGGCAGGGAAACGGGAGCGCGGGCCGTTCGTGAAGGCACGAGCGGCCGAACCCTTGCTTCTCCCCTCTGCGTATCGGGCAAGCAGTCTTTCTGGTGCGCACGCGCCGTTTATTTCGGTCACCATTGTCGGTCGCAAATTCTCGGCGTTGCTGGACACGGGCGCAAGCGCTTCGTTGTTTGGCGAACAGGTGTTGTCCCACTTGCAGAAGCGCTCGGTGCGCTTGCGGGACAGCCGAACGACATTCACCCTCGCGAAAGGCGTGGCCCAGTCGGCGGGCGCCGCGAGGTTGACTGTCAGATGGGGAGGCCGAATGAGACGCGCGCGTTTCGTTCATCTTCCAGGGCTCAGTGTTCCTGTGATTCTCGGTCGGGACTTTCTCCTAAAAACCGGTATCGTAGTGGACATTGCGAATGGAGGCTATCGCGACGGACCTTTTTCCGAGCTAAAGCCGTTCATCAGCCCTCCGGCGCTTTCTGTTGCCTGTGCAGTTGAAGCGTCGAAACCGTGTCACGTGCATACTTCGGGGGCAGGCCCCTGCGCTATGCACTCGTCGGCTCAAAATCCCCATCGGGATCGAGCGGCACGACACGAAGAGGCTCCGCATCCTTTGATCGCCTGTGCGACTCAATTGAATGATACACAGAAGGCTCGTTTGTCGGCACTGTTGCGCGAATACGATGAGCTCTTCACCGATCAACCCGGCTGTACCGATTTGGTGAGCCATTCGATCGAAACTGGCGACGCGCTTCCTTTGAAGTGTAACCCCAGGCCCGTCAGCCAGGCCAAGAGGCAGGTAATTGACGGCTTGCTGGACGAGATGCTCTCATCCGGCATTGTTCGCCGTTCGTCCAGCGCCTGGGCGTCTCCAATTGTGTTGGTGCCTAAGAAAGATGGCAGTCATCGCCTGTGCGTAGACTATCGCCGTCTCAACGGAGTGACTCGTAAGGATGCCTATCCGCTCCCCACGATTAGCTCCATCGTAGGAAACCTCGGCACTGCGCGGTACTTTACCACATTAGATGCCTCCAAAGGTTACCTACAGGTCCGGATGGATGAGCGTGACCGTTGCAAGACCGCGTTCACGTCCCACAGAGGGTTATTTGAGTTCACTCGTATGCCCTTTGGTCTTTGCAATGCTCCTGCGACTTTTCAGAGACTCATGGACCGCGTCCTCGGGGAAGCAAAGTGGTCTTACTGCATGTGCTACCTCGACGACATCGTGATTTATTCACGAACCTTCGAAGAGCACTTGGCCCACATTGCCGATGTGCTCGGGAGGGTGAGAGCCGCCGGGATGACGTTAAATCCCGCAAAGGCCCAACTAGCGCAAATCCGAGTTCAGTTACTTGGCTTCACGCTGGGCGAAGGCTCCATTGAGCCGGATCGGGAGAAACTTCGAGCAATCCTCGATTTCCCCGCGCCCAAGGACGTACGCGGCCTGCGCCGCTTTCTCGGAATGGCCAATTTTTACCGGTCGTTCATTCCGTCCTGTGCCCGAGTGCAGGCGCCCTTGACCAAGCTCTTGGGTAAGTCAGCTGAGTGGCGATGGGGACCTGAGCAGCAAGAGGCGTTTTGCCGTCTGTCTAGCGCCATTGCGGAGACAGCGCAGCTCAAGCTCCCCGACCTGACCAGACCGTTTGTTGTTCAGACTGACGCAAGCGATCTGGGATTAGGAGCAGTTCTCCTACAGGAATACGATGGTGTGTTGCAGCCGCTGGCCTTTGCCAGCCGCTCGTTGATACCCGCGGAAAGGAATTATTCCGTGACCGAGAGGGAGTGTCTCGCCATCGTGTTTGCACTGCGGAAGTTTGATGTCTACCTGGATGGGACGAAATTTGTGGTGCAAACAGATCACAGCGCGCTTAGCTGGCTGATGCGGCTCCGTGAGCCTGCAGGCAGGCTAGCGCGCTGGGCTCTCCTAATACAGCATTATGACTTTTCAGTGCAGTATCGGAAGGGGAGCACTAACGTGGTAGCTGACGCGCTATCTCGTGCCCCAGTGTCTACCAGGAGCCTGGATCCCGGTGTGACAACCGCTAGCGGTGCCTTTGCGCAAGCGAGCGGCGCGGGCGAAACGGCGGCGGAGCCGCCGAGTGGAGAAAAGGGTGAGTGCGGCGACGAGCAAACCCTTTCCACGGGCCAGGCAAGCAGCGCGCCGCGAAGCGGGCGAGAGGGGAAGCGAAAGGGAAGCGAACCCGTGACGCCAATGCGAGCGGATGCGATGGCTGCAGTCCTGAGTGGGAACGATACCAAGCTCCCCTTTGGGAGAATGGGAATCGCTTTCAGCAGACAAGAGTTACTGAAGGCCCAGCAAGATGATCCGTTTTGTCGCGAGTTGAGCGACGGTCTCAGGGAGACGGAGCGCCGAGACGCTGCTGGTAGTGCGGCGGGCGCAGGGGGACGGGAACCGGCGTGTGTCGCTGGGTCCCCCGCGGATACATACTTGCTGGACCACGATGGACTCCTGCTGAAATACATAGCCACCGATGAGGAGTCAGTGGACCCGTTTAAGGTGGTTGTGCCCAAAAGTCTGAGAGGCGCACTGTTGCGAGCCTCTCACGACGAGCCCATTGCCGGTCACCTGAGTGGCTCCAAAGTTTTTGCGAAACTGAGCAAGGTTGTGACTTGGCTTGGCATGAAGCATGACATTTTTCGCTATTGCCGTTCCTGCCACGTCTGTCAAACGGTGAAATCAAGGGGTGGCAAGCCGCCCGGCTTGATGAAACCGATTGTCAGTGAGCGTCCGTGGCAAGTAGCCACCTGCGATCTAATGGGGCCATTCCCCAGGAGTAAGCAGGGGTTCATACATCTGATGGTAGTTGTTGATCATTTTTCCAAATGGGTGGAGCTGTTTCCGCTGCGGAAAGTGACAGCGCGAGCGGTGCTAGAGAGGCTACAGGAAGTGTTTTGTCGGTTCGGCTTTCCGAAAAGATTGATCACGGACAATGCGTCGTATTTCACCGCTCGGGTGTTTGGTAATACGTGCCGTTCCCTAGGAATAGATCACTGCACCACTTCGCCCTACCATCCCCAGTCCAATTTGACGGAGCGAACCAATCGTACGCTCAAACCGATGTTGGCGGCCTTTGCCGAAAGTCAAAGGGACTGGGCAGACCATTTGAGTGGACTCGCGTTTGCAATCCGAACCTCCGAGAGTCGCTCTACTGGTTTCTCTCCCGCCTTCCTTAATTTCGGAAGGGAGTTGGCAAATCCGGTGACCAGTGTCATGCAATGCCAGCTCGGAGACGAGGAAGAACCGGCAGACTGCTCTGCTTACGCTTCCACACTTCGGGACAGGCTTTGTCGAGCTCTCAGTAGAGCGAGGCAGAGTTTGGCATCGGCCAGGGCCGAACAAAAAGCCCAGTACGACCGAAAACGTCGCCACCTTTCATTTAAGGTGGGTGACCTCGTCCTGAAGCGCAACCACGCTCTTAGCGACGCGAGCAAGGGTTTCTCAACTTCGCTCGCTCCAAAGTGGCTTGGTCCGTACCGAGTGGAAAAAGCTTGGACTCCACTCGCGTACTTGCTGAAAGACCCGCTTTCGGGAAAACTCAGCCGTGCCCATATCGCAGACCTGAAAGCCTTTGCGTCAAGGTCTGACGAGCCTGCGCCAGCGCCCAGTGGCTCTTCGTGCAAGCAACGGCGCACACCCGGTGCGGCGGACCGCATTCGGACCACGCACCGGTATAATCTGAGGAAGCGGTCACCTTAGTGATTTCGCGCCGGACGGCGGGCTTATTTCCGCAACCGAAGGCCCTCATTTTTACTTGCTAGTCTCAGTTAGCTAACTTCTTTACAGCTAGTGCTTGCAAAGAAGTCTGTTCCGCCCAGCTGCTGCTGCTGATTGTCATGTGAGTGTTGTTGTTTACTTGATGTTTTTTTTTCCGTGTTTTCTTTTTTTCTTCTCGCTGGAGGAGGGGATTGTGAATTGGTGCTTTAGCGAGGGGAGAGGGACAAATGACACTTTGCGCTTCCTTTGCGGTGCGCGTTTGGAGAGACCCGACCATCGGAGGTGCGTGTGCGTGTGTGTGTGCGTGTGGCGACAGCTTAAGGAGTCACCGACCCCTACACCACTTTGGACTCTGGAGGTGTTCGGAGACCTGCGGTCCTTAGGCAGTCCGGTTGCGCCCTGCTCCCGACCGTCGCTGATAAGCTCTGCTGGCCTTTCTATCACGGCTCCTGTACGAGGCCAGCTGTCGCAGACGCTGTGCACGACTCGACCGACGCCGCAGGACGCTTCGCAGCCAGTAGATTTGGCGACCTTGATTCCAGCAAAAGGGCCGGCTGTCGCAGCGAGGTCCTTCCGAACCTCCACCGAGGCGGCGTTCGTCGGACTCGCAGGGCTGTCGTCAACATCGACGAGACGAAGTCACCCAAGTCCAACATTACGTGACGCTTCCCCTCCGAGCTGTGGACGCGCTCTTGCGTGAGCATCATGAACTCCCGTTACCCCTCTTCCGCGGAGCCATTGTATTTCTAGAGTGTATTCTTGTGTTGTGTTTTTTCTTCAGCAGCAGTTGCAGAGCGAGGCTGAGGCTAGCTGTTGCCCATGCATGACGCCTTTGCATGCATGGGTGACGACCGGCTGCCTTTGCAGACCGGTATATAGGGTGAATTAAGGAGAGGAGGATGTGGGGATCTGAGGCGCGCCCGCGACCATTTTCGCGGGCATTCCGCCACACGGCCACACCCTTTTGCTTCCCTGCTCTGTTAACATCACGTGGCGATAGATGGCGCCACGCGCGGGCACGGCGCGCGCCACTGCGCGCGCCGAGGGAGCGCGCTCTTCTCCGTTGGTCGGCGCCGGGTAAGCACGTGTTTTCCTTCGTCCGCGTCCCCTTTGGGAATCGCCGGACTGCAGCCTGCCTGGGGTGGCCTTGGGCACCTCGGCAGGCGTGTTTACTTGAGTGCTAGCTTCGGTAGCGTACGCTAAGCCCACAGCGGTGCCTAGTGCTTGAAGTGGTCGTACCACAACGAGCCGCACTTGCCGTAGGCCCAGCGCGTACGAGGTTTGCCCTAACACTCGCGACCAGGCCCAGCGGCCATCGTGAGAGTGCGCAGCATAGCCGCGAGGGACCTTTTCCCGACCGGCGTGTCAAAGCTCGCCATTGCCAGCTGCGACGTGCTCGCGGTTTTCCCCTTATTGTGAACGTCCGCGTGCGGGTGCCTTTGCTACCCGCGTCCCGGGAGCGGACGTTGTACTGTTGTTCGGGGTGCCGCCAGAGGCAATAAGTGTTGTGTACTGT